CGGTCGCATAACACGCTCAACGCGAAACCCCAGGCGACGCCCGGTTGATTCGTTTTTGTTTATTTTGCGATTGTTATGTACGAAGACCGGCTGCGGCATATATCGTCCAGGGCGCATAATGACCGCGTGTCTCGATTCGACTCCGTGCACGCGTGTAAATATCAGTGTAGAATTTTTTTTTTTTTTTTTAATCGTTTAAATCAAAACGTTCGCAAATCCAGGAATATTATTGTACGCATGCCCGCACGCCAGCAAAAGGAATTGCCGGCCGACGATTTCCTATTATTAAAAAACGACCGAGAGCTGGCGGGGCGATTGTTAATTATACAATCTTCATTTGGCGGACGTTTGGTATGATGTGCTATCGAAAACTTGGATTTCGGACGCTTCGGAATTTCATTTTTAGATTTTCGTTTTACACCCGTTCGGTTGTTCCCGTCCGTCCGTATCCCATACTAATTAATACTATTAGGCACACTCAAGGATAAACGACAGAGCAAATTTCTGCGCATCGGGGAAAACACGCAGTTGCACGGGTAATTTCCCTAATCTTCAAGTCCGTCAATTGGTCAATTACCTTTAATATTAAACCGAACGGCGCAGATCTGTTCCGGCTAAACGCAAATTCGCAATGCCGCGTAATGCGTTTGTGGGACGGAGATGGCTGCACGTGCGCGGATATCACGTCCTCTTAATTGATAACCGGTGAGTTACCATAGAGTGTGTATTTATATAGGTACGCCACCGTCGAAACGAATAAATGAAAAATGGCCGAAAATCTTTGGCACCGACGACGGTACGATGCAGGACGGAACCGAGGTCGTATATAAATATAATATTTTCCGGCGGCTGCGGCGGCAAGAGAGAGGACTTTTTCCGCTCCACGCGCCTTTCGTGAGACCAGGCGGGTCACATAAATTTCCATCGAGTCCGTTTCCGAGCAAATAGCCCCGGAAAGCGTCGCAGACTCTCGAAACACGACGACGACGGCCGAGTCGAAGTATATGAGACCGACTTAATACGTCCATTACTCGGGAGCTCAATGGCTCGATGGAAATTTATTATACGGTCGGCGGTCCGGCCGCGGGGTCCCCTAGTTTCGCGCCGTGTCGAAAAAACGTCGTCGTCGGAATCGTGCAGTTGTCGTGGTGACGGAGCGGCTGGCGGAAGTGGAGGCTGCGATTAGAGTCGTCCTTAATGGGCTTAACGTCGCCGTGCAGTTTATACCGTTTCATACTATTATATATATTGCCGCCGTATAATATATAAAATATAAGTAGCTGTTTTCCGACGTTATTTTATAAGTGTCCCATTGTTTTTGTATCCGATACAAATGATAATATTATATACGAATATGGCGTGCGCGTACGGAGCGGATCTTCCTGCAGCTGTGGGTCTAATCGGCATCGGCATAGCTACGGAACTTGGCAATACCGGCCCTGGCCTGTCGGCGAATGTCAGTAATGAACGCAAAATCCATAATTTACATAATTGTTTTAATAGAAATGTGAAATGCAAACGAACGAAAGGCTGAATAAAAGAGCGGGCGATTTTGTGTGGCCAGATGAGGCGCTGAAAAGCCTTGTCACGGCTCTGGGTACCTGGTCCCGACATGGATCCGGTAACAGTTGCAGTCGGAAATCCAATACGGCTATATTGAGAGCCGACAACTGATCTTATCATCCTACCATATCGTACCATTTTGTGCCTATATCAAGTATATTATTGTTAAAAGTAGTGACTACAAGTGAGTTCTATAGCGGTTAATATACGAGACCTTATCGTAAGTACTGATTGACGGAACGTCCAGACCTGGCGCAGTAGGGTGGAGCAATCAAGAGAAGTAGAGTCATAGTGATGCCCGTTCTTTGGAACAGAATTATTTTTTACTATTTCCGCACAATAATTATCGTAATAATGTTGGCGCGTGAAGCACTGCTTACTGAATACTGCGCATATATTATTATCGTGTCGCATGAATAACACATATCCCATACAGAGACGTACCTGGGAATTTTCAACGGGCGTGTATGTAGCAAATAGAAATCATAAAATCGTTTTCTTTAACCTAATTGACTACGGGAATTGGTAATTTAAAAGTAGGATCCTAAAAAAAGCCAATCTCTAATCAATACATCAAGCTTTTCCGCGTAACTTAGCTGCAATATATGCATTTCGATAATACATTTCTAAATTCTTTTTTTTTTTTTTTTTTGTATTTTCAAGCCAATGGAAAGGATATGACCTCTTACTTGTTCCGCCTTGCGTACTACAATGATTCAATATCCTATAGTCTTAGTGCGCATTTGCCTGGCATTTGCTACGGTAGCACGGAATAAATCCGCGAATCGCACGCATAAAAGCTTTTTTACCTGGTCTGCCACTCACTACGGTGGTTCTTTATGTCCATAGCAGCACTTGTCCCTTACGCTCTCACATTATAAATGTTTATTTTTATTTATTCCGCATTTTACCATAATAATATACATTAACGCAAATACATTATAATGTATTTAAATAGTTCATGTTATCGACAAACCGTAACGGTATAAATTAAAACAACATTTTATTCGATTCCAATCGTTTATAAAAGTAATTATTGTTGTTGCCGATGAATTATGGTCCATATACATAATATCGCGTACCTAGATATTTATAATTTCCCGAAGAAAATAACGATAATATTACAATATACTGCGAACAAACTTCAGGAATCTTGTTAAAATGTTTTAAGTCTCTAGTGATTTAGCGAAGAAAAGCCATAAAACATATATATACAATTTTAAGCCTTTAATTACTATACGGGGAGAAACCGTTGGACGATTTAAGCATGGGAAACGAGCCAATTTCCGGGGCACTAAACTTATACATTACATTATACGCGTTACCGAATTTGGCAATCGATATAAATGTTGCAATTCGATTTTTAAAATTAATTAAACGTGTATCTATATCTAAGGTGTACGGTTAACTTTAAGTTATTGTATGTGCTCCTAATAAAACAGTTATTTTATATATAATCAAAAACTTTGAATTCTTTATGGATATGAACAATGTAATAATTAAAAGAGAATACAGGACGTTTCAAAAGATAAGTTTTTTTTTTTTTATCAAGAAAAAATTATTATTACAATATCAAAATTTTGTATAAATACAATTTTTCATAAACGTCTAAACAGATGTAGTTATATTTACATCGATTTATAATGTTTAATACAAAACGTTTTGTTTCATTTATCATGTATTTATTAATTATTATTAAATTTTATTTTGTACCTTAAATGGTAAAAATCGTATCGCTATGATTATAAATATTTAATTTATTATAAAATTAAAAAAGTCTTATACGCTGTATAATAAAATATTCAATAAATTAACGTTAAATAATGAACATTTAAAAATTTAAATTATCTTGAATTTTGTATCTTTTATATCGTGTATCTTGTTACTTCTCTAGTTTTGTAACGCATCTTATATCTAACACCAAGACACTTATTTTTTTGGTATTTTGCGTAATTCATCGCGATTAAAAATTGGCTATTTAGAAAACCCTGCAGAGAAATTATGTTTAGTACCTAATTAGCCCGCGCGTGTATTTATCACTAAAAATTTATAATAAGATAATAAAATCGTATACAAATGGCAAAAAGTTTAGACATATTTACGTGTATTTTTTAATTAGTTTTAAACAATAAAATTATTGCGTTCAAAAATCACAATTAAAAACATTTCAGTGTCGTTATCGTTAAAATTGTACAATAATGCTTTTTTGAAGTTTATTTAAAATCCGAAGAAAAAGTTAATTCAACGATTGTACAGTATTAAATACACAGACCCATTTAAAGCAACTTTATGTATTAGGAACTTTATCTACAGTGACATTTTGTCCATTAATAGCAACGGAATGAAGTTTTGTAGTTTTGAAAAACCTCGGGTTACTTTTTTGTTTAAAACCAATAAAAACTTTTCTTTAATTTTTTTTTTCGTCCGTAAATAGTAAAATTGGATCGTTTAATTTATGCATGTAGGAATTGCTGCGTAGAATACGATTCTTCATAAAAACTATAACTTTTATAATTGAAAACAACGAACATAATATTTCAACAATAAATGAATAACTAAATCATTTTTTCGTTTAACCATCATGTCCATATCCGAATAATTTCCAAAGTATTTGAATGGTCGATTTTTTTTTTTCTATACTACTTTACGAATCACTATACTATTATGAATATCAAAACCGTAATCGAAAACAAAATTCGGGGGTCCAACTTTTTTTTACGTTCAAAATATAAAAATGCATTATTAGTATGACTGAAAAATATAAATGACGTCATATTAAATTTAGAAAATCATGAACTATTCATGCATATTACGCAAATATCAATATTATATACTAACACACTTATAATTTGTTTACATACTAAAACTCATTAATTTCATTATAGAAAAATACAAATCGTTATTCTAATAATAATTACTAAATTTACAAAATTATTTTTTATACGAATGCAATTACTGTGTATCTTATACTAGAAAAATTGCTCTATCTTTTTGAAGGGCGAATTTATTCAAGACGTCTTCTAAATCCACGCTGATACTTCTATCAGCACATAATAAAACTAGGCTATTTAATCTGTTCTGTCTAGTTGCATTTCGCAAAAATGTTTTTACTTGTTTCAATGTTGAAATAATTCTTTCAGGCGTTGCTGTTGAAACTGGTAATGTAGCTAACACTTTTAACAAAAAATGTATGCTTGGAAAAAAAAAATCTGAATTACAGTTACTTAATGATTCAATGGCAGTACTTAGACAGTCGTTTTGAGAATGAGTGATCCATTTTTTATTCAACATTTTTATTTCTAAGGATAATGAATCTATGTCTGTAAAGTTGGAATGCAAGTTAAAATCCGTGGCTAATATTGAGATTTTACTACACATTTTCGGTATCAATAAATATAAAGAAGACAAAACTGTTTTATGATTTGAAAACTTGTACTTCAATTGTATAAAATCGTCGTGAAAAGAAGAAATTCTTCCGGACAGTTAGTAGTAACGTTAATTCTATTTTTTTGACGTCCAACTAGTCTTGGCATTTTTATGTGATCTTCATCTATCAACTTTAACAAATTTTCTACTTTTTGAAATATTTCCTTAAACCCTTGACCTATAATGGTTTGCATATCTTCGACTTCACTTACTACCGTTTCAACATACGTCACTGCTTCACTTAAATCACATGTTACTGATTGTAATACTTTACATAAAAGTAATGTTATAGAAAATAGTGTGTTTGCTGTCACTAAACTTACAAAAAAATTACTAGATGTAATGCACCGATACAGATTAAGTGCTTTTGATGATGTTTCCGTGTCTTGAAATAACTGAAGGTCATCTAAAGTTTCGACCATTGGATTACATACATCTAGAAATCTAATCATTCCGTGATGGTTTTCGACCCGATGATGATTCTAATGTTTTATCATCGACCATCTCAAACGATTGTACAATACTAGGGGCTGAATTCGGTTTTTTTACTTATGTTTCGGACACAGTTAAACGTTCAAAGCAGTGCCGTGCCGAAGTAGGTGTTTTGAGGAAATTATCTCATGATTAAAATGGATGGGTGGTTGGCTGATCAAATATGTTGATTAAGATTGATTAGTTTAGAGATCGGAGATGCCTTTGGTTTTGTGTATTTCACTATTAATATACCTACTTAGGAATATGGTAGTCTATATATTGTGTAGTCAATACAGCTAAATTAAGTTATTGCTGTAATTATGTGTAATAAGTGCATGTAAAACCCTATGTTTTCATCGGGTGGGTGGGTCCTAATTTATTTGTTTTGTCTCAAGTATGCAAAATGTTCAGCACGCCACTGGTTCAAAGTCAATAGTGAAACGAACGTTGGAAAATTCTACAGAACTTGGCTATAGTATAATATTAAACGTAGTGCCATAATTATTATCTTTTTATGTTATTTATGGGTTCGCTGTGGCCCGTATCTAAGTTCTGATTATCTGAGGAATGTACCTTTTCTTATCTTTTATTACCAATTAGTCAACAATAGTTCAATACGATGCAGTGACAAAAATAAAATGATAAGTAACGTTTATTTTATATCATATTATTTTCTTATCGAAAACATAAAATTATTATTAGAATAAACACCTAGTATAGTATACTAATGAAAGAAATTTAAAAAAATTTCCGGGTGGTGTCCGGACCCCCGGCATCCCCCCTCACTACATTTACGGCTTCGATGAACATAATAAAAACTTAATTTTCGTCCATGCACGATCAAATGGCGGTATTCAATACTCGTCGTATCCGGTCGAATTTCGTTTGTGATTACATCAGACGAAGTGCTTCACAGTCGACCAATTATAATTTGCTTTACTATTTACGTCAGAAAAAACCGACGCAGGTTTAGAACGGTATTAGTGAATAGAGAGATGCAATAATATTATGTCTTATGTATACAAGCCATGATCCGTTTGTTATCGGTTAGTTATTATTTTTATCCGATTACTTAACTTATAAACTAAATAAAAAGAAAATCATTGACATGTTCAGCTTTGGGAATGGAATTCTTTTTAATATTAATTATCGAACCAAAATCGAGCTTTAAAACAATTATCGATCCAATAAAGTGATATTGATTGTCGAATCGATAAGGAAAAAAGTAGGTAGTTTTTGCGACATCTTTTATGCAACTCCGCATTAAAATAACACACACGTGCCCGTGTGTACCGGAAGATCCATTTAAGTGATTAAACCCGAAAAGTATTAAAGTTGTGTTCAACCTTTTTAAGAAAAAATTAGCTGTAGATTCTATAGTCTAGAATATTAAATTATCATTATTTTTGAGGGTGAAAAAACTATCAACTTTTTATTTTCAAATGGCAATATTAAATACGTCATAAAAAGATGGAGTATTAGTTAAAATAAATTTCGGCGTTGAAATTTTGGATTCCCGCGACCCGTACGAGGAGAATAGTATTGTTAACAAACTGTTACGAGCTGTGCTAAACGATGCTACACTACACTTCGCTTACCCGAACTTAAAAGTGAAATATATCGTCAACATCAGCATTTATTTTATCTAACACGCCGTCTATTTATGGAATTTTTAATAAATGTTGCCGTTTGAGAATCGTAAAAGTAGATAGTCGTTTCGATATAACCACTACTTTCCGGGATAATGAGTGTAGCCCGTCAAATGGATTACCCGGCATGTACAATTATCAATTAACCGAAAAACGGTTTCGGTGTACCAACCCTGCATTAAAATATAATCGTTATATCATATTGCCAACAGATTAATTATTTCAAACGGGTATAGTGTGTTACGGTAAACGCGACGGATACTTTGGCGCTAAACAATTAAGACGGCCTTGACTGAAAAACGTACAATTAAAAAATAATAATATTCCAATATCACGCGCACTGCGCCCGGTGAGGAACCAATCCGTTTTCCTTGACTTGGAAATTAATCAATCGTTCAGATTGATTGTACCTATCACTCTAATGGTGTATACATTATACAATTACGGTTAATACGGTATACCCACCTAACATAATGGACCTAAAATAGACGCTCTAATATACGAATAATACGGAATGCCGTGGTTTATTATTTATTGGTCAAGATCGATGTGAACGCTTGTAAATTCTGTAATGCTAATGGCATTGGATGAATAATTATAAATGTAACAGCATGATTAAGGTGTTATAGACCGTATTTAATTTAATCGAATCACTATTCATTGTAATACGTCAACATTTCAAACGTTAACTGTAATATAGAAAAAAAACGGACATCCTTCGGACCATGGGTGGGCCGCTATTGTAGACGAGAAGTCGGGAAAGTAGATGGGAAATTTAATGTATACCTGTACACAACGATTAACCATTGCTAATGAAAAACCCCATCTGGATGGGGTTCGATTATTAATGTTGCTTCGTCATCAATATGAAATATGTCAACATATGTACAATGGGGTTACCTATGCATTTCATTAATTGTTTGTTTAATATTGTAACTTTTTTTTCCCCGTTTTTTTAATTTTTCGGGAAAGCTCCAGGGAGAATCGAACAATTATTTCTTTTAAGTACTTCCCCAGTCAGATTTCCTATTATGTAGATTGCGCGCATTATTTAAAATTTTTCGAATTATGCGCGCATAATTTTTTCTCACCCTGACCTAAATGTTCAAAGATTTAACATCATATTATAATTATATATATAATTAATATTATGTATATTTTTTTTATTTATCCAATTACAACGGTTCGACTCGCGGTATAATTCGATTCGGCGACTGCTTGTATATTATATAGGTACCTACTAAAATATTATTGTTTGAGGAATATTAACAAAAACAATGGATGTAGGCCAGTACCTAGCCGAGTGATTGTGCGACGTGACGTCATTGTTGGAGTTACGAGCATAATTATAACATTATTATTATACTTCCGAGTTGGTTAATAAAAAAAAAAAAAAAAAAATTAAAAATTAAAGTTTCAGTTATAGTATAAATCAAGTTAGATACCGAACAATAGTAATAATAATAAATTCCATTGAAAAGCTCCGTTCGCAAATAAGGATTATTAATTATACTACAAAACACAGGAAACCGTAGAAAAAAGTTTTCACGTATACAATAATTTTAAAATCGATAATTTTAATTAAGTTAACGCAGTTGCATTCAATATTTCATTTGGCTTTCAAACAAGGGCCGATATTTCATTTTACCAACCGTTTTCGCAATAATTTTTAATTATAAACGATAACTACTGCAGGAAATAACTGAATGAAAAATAAAATTAATATATTACCGAAAATTAAAATCAAAATGCATACTTTAAACGTGAAATACCAAACAACAATTCGCCGATCCCGGACAAATAACATTGAACGACACACGCGCACACGTGACAATGCAAATTCGGAATACTCGTTCGGTTTTGTCAAGGCGCACGTTCTTCGCGCGAGAAAAATGCACGCCGTTCAAAGACACCGAAACGGCAATATTTTTGTCGCGATAAATTTAAAACAATAAAACAAACGCCAGACAGACGTGCATCCGAAGTAATAAATTTCTTCTACAAAATGTTTAGAACCAATTTTCGGTTACGTATATTATTATGCTTGGTTACTACGTCTAATATTATAGACATTTAAAAAAAAAAAAAACAAAATATTGACAGGTACCTATAACGAACGTTTTAAAACGTTATTTTCACATGTTGAATTAACAGGTCGGGGAAATTATTGGGACGGTGGCATTAATCACTATCGTTCAGAAGCCAAAGTCAAATTAAACGGTTTGTTTTTCAAACTTTTTAACGTGACTAGAAATTAATTTTTGTCGCTAACCTATTTGAGCTTTCCTTGTATAAAATTAACTTTTCGATCAAACCGTTCGTATTATTGTGGCCGTTGCATGTTAACTAAATGGTCGCTACGTTCACCGCACTGGACCACGTCCGTAATAGTTATGTTTTTGCATGGATAATTCGTTTTTGAAGTCGAGTCGGGTTTTTTTTTTTTCAAATAAAAAATTTAAAACACACACACACACACACTCGCAAAAAAACGGAAAACACTGCATCGACAGGCGAAATGACACGAGTAATCGCTAAACGGTAACCGAATAATATTTGAAGAGTACAATACACCTGCAGAAAGTTTATTGACTATTGGAAACGGTTCAAAATTCCCGATTCGAGTTTGTAATTGGAAATGCGTACGCGTATCTAGTTTTGGGTATTGGAAATCTAATTGAACACGAGTAATGCAATACCCGTTTAAACACGGACAAGCGGTATTTCGGGACCCTTATTTTGACACAGCCGTCGCAGCTATGGCAATAAATTACAACAATAACAGGTAAGTATATACAGGCGCGGAGGACGGATTGATTGAAGGGGACGGTCGAATCGCGCTTTTACTTATTCGAATTGAAACGGCCGCGGATTCGGCGATGTTTTGATACGAAAAATACTTGACTAAACAGTTTTGAAAACGCCGATTTCCGGCATTGTCTAGTATAATATATAACGTCCAACTCAACACGAATATAATATTACAAACCAATCGGATCCGGTTTCGGTGTTTGGATTCCCGCGAAAAATAATAACAACCCGACAAGTTCAAAAAACGCTTAATAATCGTGCACGTTATACGGTCAAAAGTTGTAAAATAATCGGTGTAAGTCTACACTTATTTGTACGCATTCTTTGTGTTCATAAAACCCGATTTTGCGTACTGTTAGTTTTAATATGAGAATGTATTGGCCTATATTATCAAACTTAAGGGTAAGAACATTTTCCGTGTTTTGTACGTTGGTTTTTTTTTTTTTTCGATATTTTAATTACTAACTACGAATATTTTAAATGTCAAAATATTTTGAAATTTTAAAATTAGGGAAACT